TGGCGCGCCGGCCCCCCGCCCCCGTGCGCGGCCACGTGACGCCGGCTGAGGAGATTGGAGCGGCGGCGACGCGAGGCGGCAGACTGGTGCAGCGCCTTGCGCTCGCGGCGGAACTTCTTCTCGTCTGCCTCCTCCTGGGATCCTTGACGACGCCTGCTCTGCCCGGCTCGTCGACGCCGCAGCCGTCACATCTCCGCCGCCGGGGTGCCCCAAGGAGGAGACGACGCAGCTGGGCCTCGCTGTTAAAGGGGTCCCCGGCTGCCGCTTGCCCCCTCGGCCGTCTCCTGTGGGGTCAGCCCTGCCGCGGGGGTCCCCGCATTATCCTCCAGCCGCCAGCGTCCGCTTGTCGCCGCGATGGGACTCCTGGACTCGGAGCCGGGCAGTGTCCTGAACGTGGTGTCCACGGCTCTCAATGACACCGTGGAGTTCTACCGCTGGACCTGGTCCATCGCAGGTAAAGGTGCTGGCTTCCCCATCCTCGCACGGTGGTGCGGGCCGCTGCCTCGCTCGGCTCCCTCCACCGGGAGACACCAGCCCCCGGTCTCAGAGCGCCCAGGCCCCGGCCCTGCGGTCCCTGCGCCCTGCGGGTGTCAGGATGCTACGGATCGGCCGAGTTGCCAGGGCGCGGACACCTTGGTCGTTCACTGGTTAATCTGATCCGAACGTTCAGACTTCCTCCTCCCCCCGACACTCGCACGGTTTTCCGCTGAGCTTCCACCATGTCTCATCAGCTCCTCGGATGCGGGAGCTGACGTATCAGATGGAGCCTGTACAGCAAAAGCTCATCTCAGGATCCGCCCCACCCCACACTCCCACATCTCCCGACCTCATCTCACAGTTCTTCTACCTTGTGTTCAGGACTGGTTTTAACATTTAGTAAAATTATGTATGGAGAGAGGGCTGGGGAGGAGGAAGGCTTCAATGGTAGCTGTCTTTTTGCTTTTTCACCCTCCTGGTTGCTTTGACACAACCCTGCTAATATTTTCTTCTGTCTAGCTCATCCATCTATAATATAATCTGAACTGAAAAGTAAAATAGCATTGTTTGGCTCCTTGAATCTTGAAGAATGTTAGTTTCTGACGTTTTTTCTCCAGCAAATATGATCGAAGTGATTGTCTATAATGGCTTTGCGCACTGCAGTGTTGTCAGGGGGAGGGGGAGGCTATAACACCGGGGAAGAAATAAGTCTTTAGGAAGGGGGGGGGGGGGGTGTCTCTACAGCAGCACCTAGAGGTTGTCCCAGAATCTTACGTATTAGTATGTACAGTGTTCTTAAATCAGCAAACTTTTCTTTTAGGTGTTGCAGTTTATTTGGCAGGGCTGCCAATTGGTTGATTTATAAATACAGCTTTCCTAACGGAAACAATTGGGGTATTATAATATTTTTACATTTTGCCACTTATTTCTTCATTTGCTTTGTCACTTTTGGTTTTAAGGCATTTAAAAGTTTTTGAAATCTAAAATTAGGTTTAAAGAATTTTAGAAATGATCTTATGATTTAAGTTTTTCTAGTCTTTTGCTTTATCTCATTGCATCCTAGTTCCACGTTATGACTCTGCCTTCCCTCCCGAGAAAGGAAAATACATTCCTGCTGTTTTTGTGTTTGTTGTTAGGGTATAGGAGACAGTAGTTACAGCATGAATACAGTACAGGCATATGTTGTTGGGGTGGGGGGAAACGTTGCTGGAATTATTTTTATGAGACCAAATGATTCTTCGACACTGGTGCTGTGTTCACGTCTTCAGAAAAGTGTGTTCTTTTCCAGGAGATCTCAAATTTGACAGTGGGAAATAAGCTATTTAATAAGTCCTTGCAACTGAAAATGGTTAAAAGGCAGTTTTTAATAGAGTGTTTCTTCTTTAAGTCTTTCCTCTATGAATTGTTACACTGACATTATATCATACCTCCAAAAACTGGGAAAGATGTGTGATGTTGGCTCCTTAAACATTGCATCAGGGCTTCCCATTACACAATTGTACAGAGCTGAACATCAGACAAGCTCTTTGGCAGGTAATTTCATTTTGCATACTTTGGAGTTACGCATTGTCAAGGTCCTCCAAGCTCCATACAGGGAGAGTCACTCCCCGGAGCTCTCAGTCCTTTCATTTACTCTCTATTCCAGGGCTTTCCCATCTGAGTCTCAGAAAGAAAAATTGAGAGCAAAGATAGAAGACACCTTTCTATGATGGTTAATTCCTTCCTAATGATGTTTGTGTAAAAATACCATGAATGAGAAGAAATTTTGTGCAGTTGCCTCATGTGACAGCTTGCTACCGGGCTTTGAAGGGCATATAAAATAATGTAATATTGTGGGCCAGGCATGAGAAGTGAGAGTAGCCACTGGAACAGAAGTGACCTCTTACTAACAGGTTGGAGGGAAGGTATTTGCCCAGGCTCTGACTATCCACTTACGAAACCTGAGACTGCTTCCTTGCTTTCTGTAATGGGCTACCTTACGTAGGCAGATGGTATTTCTTAACCAACAGAGAGGCTTAGTGGATCAGCGAGTGTTCTGCCTTGCTGCTGTGTAAGGAGGAATATTTATCAGTTCACACAGAATAAACCTGAAGCCTATGCTGGAAATGGGTGTCCCATCTGCCTTTCCTCCTTTCTATGTTTTTCCATGTTCCTTTTTTTTTTTTTTTTTTGACTCATTCACACTGTTCCGACTCCAAACAGATCCCAACTTGGCATAATTTCATGATAATCTGGATGAGGGAGTTTCAAAGTAGAAAAGTAGTTTATTAGATGAGGTTGAAGAAAAGTTGGTGAGACAGATGTTTAGAGAGAGGGGGAAATAAAAATAGGCGGGAGAGATAGATGGTCTTGAGAAATAGTGGTGAGTGTGGTGAAAGGATGCAAATTATTCAGGAGAGCAAGAAATGCTCTTGAGTGCTTTCATTCCCAGGGACTGTAGTTATGTACTTCTTTCTTTTATTAGTTCATTAAATATTTTTCTCCATTGAGGTTTCTACCTAAGTGCAAATAAACTATATCTACTTGGCACTGTCATAATAGGAATAGTTACAGAATTGTAGAGTATTTTTGATGGTATAAGAGATTTTTGCCCTAGGGAGAACAATTTCTGGAAAAATGTCATTTTGTGCTCTTATATCAAATAGTGCTATTTAATAAAACATATCCAAAGCAAAGTATAAAAACCGGGCTTTTCAAAGGCACATATCTAGCAAATACAGAATATGTTTCATAGTGTGTTAACATTGAAAATGTTACTTTTACTATATCATTAACACCATATACATTGGAATTGAAACTTTGGAAGAACTGTACTTTTAGAAAAATAACAAAAATAACTTTCCACTTACCTACATTATATTTTTGATATTTTGAGCAAGAAAGTTAATATTGGCTTATAATAGAGGAAAATATAGACTGATGTGGTACTTTATACGAGTTGATGGTATTAGAGTAGATATCCTGATGTCATTGTGTTTGTTTTTTCTTCTATTCTTTCACTTTATGAGTACACTAAAGTTATTAGGACTGGGATCCTAGGCTTAAAGTGTTTATCTAATTAATAAAAGTTATATTTACATTTTTAAAGCTGATGAATCTAAATATTCTCCAATCTATAAATACCCAAATTATCTACATTATCCATTGCATTCATTTATTATTCTTTTAATAAATGTTTGTTAATAACTTTTTGTGTCCCTGACATTTAGCATAGAAACATCCTAGAAAGTTAGTACGATATGCACAATAAAGCCAGGTGTCTCCTGAGCCACCATATTTCTTCTTGACCACATGTTTTTAAACAACCATTGTTCGTGGGGTTTGGGTATATATGTCTTTTGGTTGGGGAGGTGGTTGGCAATGCCCCTCTGTTCACAGATACAGTACCCCACATTGTGCAAAAATTTGTGTCTACTTACTTGATAGTCGAAGTTAGAGGGTAAAAGGCCAGCCTATTTGGATCCTTGAATTCACTTTGGAGGGGACAAAAGAGAGAAGGAGTGAGTGGTACAGGAGGAAGGAGGACTCCTGTAGGGTGATGGTGAAATCTGATGATGATGAAGGCAGGCTCCTGTTATCATTTGTTCCTTCCACATTCTCTTGCCATGTGCAGGCACAGTTCTTGGTCACTGCCCCCATGCAGCTTACAAAGTCTAGGGGGTCACTGCCATTCCCCTTTCCTTGATACCATGGTCTGAAGATAGTGTGATCTGCTAGAGTCAGGCCTAGCTGGGGCCTAAGGAAGGTCAGAAAATTCCTCCTCTACTCGTCTCACCTCTACTTCTTACACTTGTATCTCAGTCTTGAGTTGTGAAAGGAATATACAAGCACTGTTTTTAGAATATTTTAGCAGTTTCACCACAGGTTCCTAATCCCTACCCTTGAATGAGAAGTTGATATGGGTACTGTCAAAGAGTATTTTGATAAGTAAACTAGGGCATAGGGCGTAAAAGGGACAGTGAGTCATCCAGGTTTGATGAAACTGGAGGCCAGTGGGAGGGGACATTTAATTCAGCTCAAATAAGCTGCAGTAAAAGCAGGTTTGGCCTAGGGATTGCTAGGCCCCAGAGGAGCGTGTGTTTTAAGCACCGTACAATATATTTACACTACTTGTATTATTTATCACAGTTAATGTATAGTTTTCCATCTATGTTATTGTCTAAAATAGGTTTTGTTTGTTCAGCTTAGACTGAGAATGCAGTTGCCATTTTTAATGTTTCTTTAAGAAGAGACATTCTAAGTTCTAGGCAACTAATTAAAAACTAATTTGTGAAACATTACTGGCTCCTAACCTGGGATCTCCCTTGGTCAGTGTCTTCAGGGAGATCCTAATTATCCTTTTCTCATAACGTCCCTGAAGCCTCTGGGAGGTCCACACCATTTTAGGGCTTTTTTTGGTTTGTTTGGTTTTTACTGTTTTTTCCTTCACCACAGTCATTTCTGGAAGCAGGCTCATAGACTTCAATGGCTGATGCCTTGTTCATTCTCCAACAACAGCATATAGCAAAACGTCATATTGCAGATGGAATTCTTGGAGAATAAACAATGCAGATTCTAAAACTGGTGTCAGGACATGGTTTTATAGAGTTAGATTCTTTGGCTTGGAGAGACAAAGTTTTAAGAATTATACATATGATTATATCAGACAGTGCTTTTGTGTTCTTTAGAGCCACAAAACACTTGGTCGTCCTTCTAAAATTCTATTAGTTTTCTTAATTTTTCCTCAAGTCATATTATAATGTCATATGTATGACTTAACATTGTTGTTATTTTTTACTTATTGAGTCACTTATTATTATTTCGAATTAGGCATATGTTAGCATACAGAAAAGAGTTATGTGACAGAATCTGTCTTTTCTCCATTTATTTATCTATTTTGAGGGACAGCTGTCCAGTAAGAGGAACTGAACTCTTGACATTGGTGTTACAAAGTCCCTCTGTAACCAACTGAGCTAACCAGCCAGTCCTGTCGTTTCT